CCAGGGCCGCTTTCGGGAAGCATATTCTACTGTTCGTCGACAACATGCCGTTGGCCCTGGGTTGTTGTAAAGGGAGGGCCGCATCCATTCATCTTCGTCGTACTCTTCGTAAACTGTGTTGCTTGGCGCTGTGTTCAAACTGTACTATTCACATACGCTGGACGTGTAGCGAGTTCAACCCTGCCGATGCTCTCTCTCGTGGGCGTTTAGGCTGGTTCTCAGGGCCTTGCCGACGCGCTGCTGCCGCCCAGCCTGGCTGCTCTCGCGCGGGGCCCCCCGAGGCTGACCTGCAGGGGCCGACCTCGATGGCGGGTGCCTCGGCCTCACGCCGCCAGGCGGATCGCCACCGCGGAGCCGCGGCGGCTCGCCAAGGGGCGTCCGAGCGGGGGCCTTCGGGCGGCCTCTCGTTGCTGGAGCGCACGGCGGTCAGGCCGGGCACGGAGCGCCTGTGCCAGGTATACCTCCTGGCCTTTCTGCAGTCCTGCCTGGTCATGACCATCGACTGGACGATCGGGGTCGAGATGGACGTCGCCCTGGTCGCGTACCTGAGGTCGATGTACGTCGTGGGCCGCGCCACGAACGAGGGCTCCGTGCTGCTGGCGTCGCTGGCACACCTCACGCCGGCGCTGCAGAAGAGGGCGGCTCTGGCCTCGCCGAGGGCCTCGCGCTGTCTGGCGGGCTGGCGCCGGCGCGTCCCGACCAGGATGCGCCTGCAGCGGCCTCGCCGGGCCGCCTTCGCCATCGCCGGGACGCTGGCGGCCTGGGGCCAGCCGCGCATGGGGCTCTTCGTGATCGCGGGCTACGGACCCTTGTGGGACTTCCCGCCTACGTCGATTGCTCGGCTCTTCGAGGATGCGTGCCACGCCCTGGGCTTGAAGCACTTGCAGCCGCCTCTGTGCTCTCTGCGTCACCAGGGCGCCAGCGAGGACCTGCTGTCGGGCGCCAGGACGCCGGATCATGTCAGGCGGCGGGGGCGCTGGGCCACAGTGGCCTCGCTCCGCCGCTACTGCAAGGAGACCCGCCTCCTCCGGGGGGCCGCCCAGGTGGGCCCCGACGTGCTGCTGTTCGGCGAGATCGTGGAGCGCAGCTTCCTGGACGTGCCGCGGGTCGGCCCCCTGCTGCCGCTGGTGTGGGCCGGGCGCCCCGCGAGCGTTGGCCCCCGCCTGCGGGGAAGGCCCGGGGCCCCCGCCGCCGCGCGGCGCCGCCGACCCTGACGGCGTCGCCTCAGGCCGTGCGGCTTCACCTGCAGCGGCGGTGCCGCCGAGGACGTGCTGGCGCGAGCAAGTGGAAGAGCTGCCTGTTTCTGGAGCTGTTTGCAGGACAGGGTCGCATCGCCAAGCGCATCCGCGACCTTGGCTACGGGTGCCTGGACCTGGACCTCGTTCACGGGGCCTGCGAGGATCACCTCCACACCACGTTCGAGTCGGTCGTGCGCGGGTGGCTTCTGAGCAAGGCCATTGTAGGTCTGTGGCTGGGCACTCCCTGTACGTCCTGGTCGCAGGCTCTCAGAGACCCTTTGCGCTCCATTCGTTTCCCCATGGGGAAACCAGGTTTGTCTGGGCCTAGGCGGGACCGCCTGCGCGTCGGCAATCGCTCTTTCTACTTTTCTTGCCGGCTCATCCGGCTCTGCATCCAGATCGGCTGCCCTGTCTTTTTGGAGAACCCTCGCGGGTCGCTGCTTTGGCACGCCCCCGAGATGGTCAAGCTTCTTTCGGATTCGTCGTGCACCATTCACAAGATGGACACGTGCCGATTTGGCACGCCCTTTAAGAAGCCAGCGACAGTGGCCGGTTGGAATGCAGGCGTCTTCCCCAGCTTATGTAAGTCTTGCTCTGGCAAGGGTGGCATCTGCTCGTCGACTGGCCTGCCCCACCTTATCCTCCAAGGCCGAGACAAAGGTGCGCCTGCCCGCCGCGCCGAGCTAGCTGCAGCGCACTCGCCTCGCTGCCGCCCTTGCCATGACACATTCTGCCAATGCTCTCAGAGAAAAATGGATGATGGGTGCCGCCTTCAAAATCTTGTAGTCTCTTTTCGGTAGGTTAGGTTATTTCACGTGCGTAGTTCGTTTTCGGCCACGAATGTGGCCAGGACTGCTCTGCGGGATTCGGGTGGCTCTTTTCAGTGTCTTCGAGGGTGTGCGGCTATCGCCGGGGTCAGCTGACTGTTGTATAGCCTCCGGCCTGCCGTGGCCTCGCCCTCCCGCGCTCGTCCCCATAGTAGATACATCGTCCTGGCATCTGGGTAGTGGAAGTAGCTGATCCTTTTAACAAGTGTATGCTGCGTACCACGGCGAAGTTGCCGCACTTGATGGTCATCCGTTGCCATCTCGCTCGAGCCTCCCCTCCCGCTCCTCCCTTGCTCTCTCTCGTTTGCACGGATTTCAGGTGGCTCTTTTCAGTGTCTTCGAGGGTGTGCGGCTATCGCCGGGGTCAGCTGACTGTTGTATAGCCTCCGGCCTGCCGTGGCCTCGCCCTCCCGCGCTCGTCCCCATAGTAAATACATCGTCCTGGCATCTGGGTAGTGGAAGTAGCTATGTGTATATGTATACACACGTACATGTTTATATGCGTGTGTAGGCACGTATGCATGGCGTGCATGCGCGTGCGCGCGTACGGCATGCAAGCACATATTCGCACGCGCATGTGCACGCGAGCGCCCGCCGCCCGCGTGCGAAGCTCGAAAGGCGCGAAGCGCAACTGCACTTTTGTTTCTATAAATACTCTTATGTAAAGGTGTACATATATGTATTACCTATAAATATATGTGTGTGTCAACATGAATATGTAACCATATGTATATGTCTCTGTCTCTGTCTCTCTCTTTCTCTCTCTCTTTCTCTCTCTGGGCCTCCCAGATTGGGTCCACCTGGGTGGGATGGGAGGATCGGGCCGCGTCGCCGATGCATCGGCGATGCGGCTTGATGTGAAGCCAGAGTTTCTCCACGCCGACGGCGCCACTCCATCGCCGACGTTGCCGATGCATCGCCGATGAATCGGCGATACATTGGCAATTCTGTGCAATCCTCCGACCGCATCTATTCGGACCCCATCTAGGAGGTCTCTGGTCTAGGGAGGTAGGCCTCACATGCCTTCATTGTTTTTCCGTTCGCCCGGACGTCTTCCAATATTTTCAAGCGGCGAAGTTGATGCCATGATCGGCGTCCTATGGGTCAGATCATGGCTCTGGAGCCAAGGGTGCGTCGCTGAGAGGATCTTGGTCAGGAGAGCGCCGACATACATACCGATACCAATCTCGGCCAGGCCAATCTCCGAGGAGTGGCCTGGCCAGGATCGGTATCTGTGCATGGCTGCGTCTTCCTGCAGTTGCGGAAAATCACGGATCGAAACGGAGCCCTTATTCCCACCCCCTGGCGGACACGACCGACTTGGAAAAGCAGCGGCTTTTCACCTGGCCTGTGGGATCTGGGGTCGGTGTTTGTTTTCCAAACTCTTTCTGAACGGCCTCTGAATGGGCGGGAGAAGAGATGGGAGCGAGGGGGACGAGGAGGACGACGACGACGTGAAGTGAGAGGGAGGAGGAGGAGGAGGAGGAGGAGGAGGAGGAGGAGGAGGAGGAGGAGGAGGAGGAGGAGGAGGAGGGGGATGAGGAGGAGGAGGAGGAGGAGGAGGAGGACGAGGAGGAAAAGGAGGAGGAGGAGGGAGAGGGCGAGGGAGGAGGAGGAGCAGGAGGAGGAGGAGGAGGTGGAGGAGGTGGAGGAGGACGAGTGCAAACCCAAGATGCAGCAACGATGTTGCAATACACGCCCTCCTTGCAAGCTCCCTCTTCTCCGGTCCCTGCAAAAGTTTATTTGAGAGCGCGCTTTCTGCCGCTGCTGGCAGGGGGGTCACCCAACCAGAACGGGGGGGTCCAAAAATCCCCACCACCCGTCAACGACGACCGACGACGACGACGTCCGTTCCCAAGCATTGGCGTCAATTGGTCCGACTCGACTCCTTAATTACCTTCCACTCTCGCCATGCTCCGTCATACTGCTATGACCCGCCATACTTTTTGTGCATCCATGCTATGACCGGCGTATTGGTTCGTCATACTGTTATGACCCGCCCCATTGTACATACCCTGCAGATCCTTCATCTGTCTCATTCAGTCATTCACTCTCTCCTCCTCTCTGTCTCGCTTCCCCGCCGGCTTCGTCTCCAGCGTCTTGCGCGCCTTGCTGGCCCGCCCCCTTGCACCCCCTCCCAGCCTCCCCTTCCCTGCCATCCCCCCCTCCTCGCCCTCCCCTCCGTGGGAGACCCCCTGGGCGCCCTCGAAAGAACCCCCCCACCACCAGCCGCACGCCTGCCTCCAAGCCAGAGTTCGGCCGTCTCCCTCCGCCTACCCGCGGTGTGCCGCCGCAGATGCCGCGAGGTCCGGGGTCAACGATAGGAGGTGATAGGCATAGGGGGGAATGCATCGACCCAAAATCGCCCGTTGATCGCCGATAGGGGCCCGATAGCCTCAACCTGCCCAGGAACGTGCAGATCCACTATCGGAGGCCTGTCGCCGATCGATCGGCAATGCATCGCCGATGTCAGGCCGATGTTTCTCCCCCCCTATCCCTATTCCCTGTCGTCGCCTCTCTCAGAGGTCTCCCGCCTCCCCCGCCTCGCGGATATGCCCGGAAGCCCTCGCCTGGGCACTTCAGCCACGCGCAGAGGGGGGGCAGGGGCAGGGGGAGGGCTTCTTAGGAGCACCCCTGCTTCTTAGAAGGCGCGGGCCTTACCTCTAGATGTAAGGCCGGCGTCTTCTAAGAAGCAGCCTCCTTCTAACATTAAGTCGGGCCTGTCCCTCTACAGAAGGAACATTCAAACATAGTCCAGAAATAGTCCGGAGACGATTTGTCTAGCATGCTTTGACAATTGCTGAATGTTTTTTGTGGCGTATTGTTTTATGTCTCGTCGAGAATCGGCCTGCAGGGGGACGTGCCCGACCTCCTCCTCAGAAGCCCTCCCCCCCCCATACCCCCCTGGAGCGCGCCGCCGAGCACCGACCCGGAGGACGCCTGGCGGCTGCGGCGAGGCAGCGCCGCGGGCCAGGAGGAGGCCCCCCCACGCGCGCAGGAGCGCGCGCGGAGGGGAGGAGGAGGAGGAGGGGGGGGAGGAGGAGGAGAGAGGAGGAGAAGGGAGGAGGAGGGAGGAGGAGAAGGGAGGAGGAGGAGGAGGAGGAGGAGGAGGAGGAGGAGGAGGAGGAGGAGGAGGAGGAGGAGGAGGAGAGGAGGAGAAGGAGGAGAAGGAGGAGAAGAGGAGGAGGAGGAGGAGGAGGAGAAGGAGGAGGAGGAGAAGGGAGGAGGAGAAGGAGGAGAAGGGAGGATGACCAGAAGGGAGGAGGAGGAGGAGGAGGAGGAGGCGGGGTCGCCTAAGCCCTTCGGAGAAACCCTCCACTTCACGCCTGCCACCAATTGGCACTGGGGGGGGGGGCGGCGGAGGGCGCAGGCCTGGCACGGGCCCATGCCGCCGCGGACTCTGCGGAGAGGACGAAGGCGAGAAAATCAGGGGCGGCCCAGAGGGGGGTGATGACGAGGGGGGGGGGATGGATATCATGGCGGGGCCATGGTATCTCCCCAGATTTTACGGCGCCTCTTCTGTTTCATCACGTCCCTGCCCCCCCCCCCCTGGGCCGCGCACATGCCGCCGGCCATGATTTGTGCCCCCCCCCCCCCTCTTGGCCGCCCCCGAGACAAAAGCCGACCTGACAGCTGGGGACACAGGTTCCCATGGAGGCTTGAAAGATTGGGCACATGGTGGCCCGTGTCGGGCCTTGGGGTCATGGCTGGAATGTGCGGCGACGGAGAAAAACTGGCCCAGGGATGGGTTCGCGATGGCCAGGGGCTCGCGTCGTAAGCACGCACGGCCTTGGAGGTCTGGCGATGAAGACGGGAAGGCGGAGACGGAGCGACGGCGAGAAAGATGGAAGGCCGCAGTGGCAGCGAGGCGGAGATCGGGGCCAAGACATAGAGAGACAGAGTTGAGGAGACAGGGTAGAATTTGGGACATGCGTGCTGGAGTGTTGGCATCGCGGGTTCGTACTTGAGAGTGGCGGGATGCATTGTTGACCTAGCGTTGTTGATTTGCACTTGTGGGATCGGGTTGCTTTGTTGACTTGATCTTGCTACGTTGGCATGCCTTGTCGAGTCGCTTCGGCAGGATGGGCTTGCCCCGCTGAGTTGCTTGAATCATCTTGGCTGCTCTGTGTTGCCCTGCGAATGTGGTTTCCCTTGCCTACGCGGAGGTAACTTGCCATGTGGTTCGTTCTATTGGCTTGTCCTTGCGACCCCACTTCACGGAGCCCAGCTGCCCTGTCGATTTGCCCCGCGAGGGCGATTTGCCCTGCCGACCTGCCTTACCTGTCTGCCCCTGCGGCATGTAATCCCCTTGCCAGCCTGCCGGTGCTGGGCTGGCCATCTTGCCGACGTCTCGCATCCGCAGAGCTCACCTGCCTTGGTAGCTCACCTCCGCCGAGTGTGGCTCAGTGGGAGTGTGTTTCACCGCCCGCGCGTGGCGACCCAGCCCCCCGCTGCCAAAGAGCTACGAGACCTTCGCGTCTGTGTCCTACATGTATGCTGAAGTTTAGAGCACGAGCACTGGACTGGAATCGTCGGGGTGCCATACACAATACTCAATACGTTACCGTGTTATGTGGTTCTCAGTTGTTCTCGTTGGCCAGCGTTGCAGTGCTCTGCCTTGCGATGCTTTGCAATGCCAAGGGGAATGGCGCCAGTTTGGACGAGGTGGCGCTGGGTTTATTATAGCAAGTGGGTTGGAGCTCTCAGAACAGGTGGCGCCGACACGGTGAATGGAGTGTTTGTTGTGTGTTTATTCCAGATTGTCGGATCCAAGTAGGAATGGTATAGCAATGTCGCATGCGAACGTAGTCAAAGGGTTCCAGCCTGGACCCTCTCAGCTCGATCCACCTGGAGAGGCACCGCGACAGATGAAAACCTAAACCTAGGGGCGGCATGGTCTCTCCGTCCCGACCACAGCGGCTCACGTGACCTGGCCGCCGGAGCATCCGGACGAGCAGAAGGGGGGGGGGAATAAGATGGGAGGGGACGCGGTGGCGGAGAGGATGGGCAAGGGAACAGGACGGGGGTGGGGACGGAGACGAGGGATGGCAGGCAGGACGGGTCCCGTTTCCATTGGGAATCGCGGATTTCCGCTGCCGAGCGAGGCGGCACCAGCCGCAATTTGGGGAGGGCACCTCCTCGATCCATGGATTTAGCGACCGCGCGCCAAATCCATGGATCGCTAACCCACGTTTGCGCACCCCCGGTTTCCGCGTCCAGCGCGCGGCGACGCGAGGGGCGCCCGGGGGCAACAACAATCATTGCCTCTCGTCGGAGAGTGCGGGCGAGCGCGCCCCGTCCGCGACGCCGCGGTCCCTTGGGGTCCCCGGGAGGCCCCCGGGAACCCCGAAGGCGTTCTCTGGACGCCTTCCTCGATCCTCCTCCTCCCCCGCCCCCTCCTCCTCCCCCTCCTCCTCCTCCTCCCCCTCCTCCTCTTCCTCCTCCTCCTCCTCCCCCTCCTCCCCCTCCTCCTCCTCCTCCTCCTCCCCTCCTCCTCCTCCTCCTCCTCCTCCTCCTCCTCCTCCTCCTCCTCGCGGGCGGAGGGTCGAGAGGGCAAGGCTGGCGGGCGCCGCATCAGAGGGGGGGGGAGGGGCGGCCGGGAGGTCCCGCGAGGGGGGCCCGCCGAGGAGCCACAGCCACGGCGCGGTGCCAGCGGCCGCCCCAGCAGGCGGGCGGGCGGCGCCCTCGGAGGGGCCGCGGGAGTGCCGGGAGCGGCGGGCCGCGGCCCCACGGGCTCGAGGAGGGGATCGACTGCAGGACAGATGTTATCATTCAGGAGGGAAAAAAAAAACACAGACACAATTAATCGTCGACTCCCAGGAAAATATGGGAAAATGTGGGAATTGGGCGGGAAGACAAACACCCAGAAAATATGGAAAAAGATGGGGAGTCATTGTATTTGTGTGAATTTGTTTGAGTGTCCTTGGGCCCCTTGAATCATGGCGTGGGCCATGATGTTTCCCCAGATTTTATGGCGCATTTTCTTCTTTCATGACGTCCCTGGCCCCCCCCCCCTGGGCCGCGCACGTGCCGCAGGCCATGATCTGCGCCCCCCCCCCCCCGCTTGGACGCCCCCCTCTTGGCCGCTCCCGAAAATTGATTTTCCGCCGAATCTACGAGAAATCGTGGATCCGACGGACACTCAATTTCGGGGCAAGTCACTTATGTAGTCGATCCCCTAACTGGTCAGGAGGTGTCCAGAAGGGCGCTGATCGCCAAGGGGGGGGGCGGGCCGCGGCCCCATGGGTTCAAGAAGAGGATCGACTGCAGAACAGATGTACCCCCAAATTGATTTCCGGTCGAAGCTACCAGAAGTCGTAGATCCGACGGACAGTCAAGTTCGGGGCAAGTCACTTCTGTAGTCGATCCCCTCGTCGCATGGTCGCGAGGTGTCCAGAGGGGCGCCGTGATCGCCAGGGGGGGGGAGGGGAGTCTCTCGACGTGCAGACGTCGCATCGCGGGATGCTCTCTGTATGGGCTCCCGGCTTCTCGAGCGTGCCTCCGAAGGCCCCAACTCCGAAAATTCTGGGAAACGTAAGAATCGAGCAAGCCGGAACTTCGGTTTGCCGATGTTTTTTGACGAGCGCAGCCTGGATTTTGACGGTCCCGTTTCCAGAGGATGTTTGCAGCGGGAGTTCGCGTCAAATTTCAGATTGGGCCTCGTCATTTTTGTGATGGCCCCGTCTGGCCAACCCGAGTTTCCCGTAACGTCTCCCCGAAAAATGTGGCCGCCCTGATTGTCCAGGAAAGGGCGTAGGCCCAGGGTTACATTTTCGTTTGTAAATTGTGCCTGGCCCGCAACTTGCAGAGGGCGGGCGAACTTCTCTTCGATTGCTAACGAGGTCTCGAAGGGCTGGCGAAGAAGATTGTCGAGGATGGCCTGTGTTCCACATCATGTGTTGAGGATGTCTCAGGCGAAAAGCTTGCTTTGCAGAGTTCGGGGTGTCTCGAGCGACACGCTGTCTGCGGACTCCATTGGGTGTCTCGAGCGAAACGCGTGTTTTCACGTGTCCAGGCCACCAAGAGGGGATATCGAACGTGAGGTCTTCGGATTCTTCGCCCGTGAGCTGAGACCGTGTTTTTACATGGCTTGTTTCCGTTTTTGAGCTCGAACGAGATATTTTGATTTGGGTTCCTTTCGACCGCGAGACAAGAGAATGTGCCTTAGCACGCGCGCCATTCGTCCATGAGCAACGATGTTCGGATCTCTCGAGCGAGGGCTTCATACGTGAGTGAATTGTGGGGGAGTCTCGAGCGGGAGCCTCGCCTTGTGGAGCACCAGGAGGAAGAGGAGAAGGAGGAGCTGAGACCGTAGCCATTTCGGCTGAAGCCTGTCATGCTCAAATGAGCTAGCGGCATTGGCGAGTTGCCCCAAGGCTGGACCATACGTGTGCCGACTTGACCACCGGTCGATGCTCGCCTTCTCCGGGGCGGTCTTCGCCGGTGAACGCCGGGGTGAATTGGTTGCAGGAGTATCTCGCGCATCTAGATTCTTACAGCTGGATGGATGCGTTGCTGGTAGTATGTTGGTCCCTTTGTTCGCGAAATCAGCCACTCGAGTTCAAGCTCTTGAGTGCGCTCTTCTGGCTGCAGGTTGAGGTCGTTATCTAATCGCTTCGCTCATTCCGCCGGCCCTGGAGCCCTCTTTAGGGCCTCTTGGGGGCCTCTTGGGGACCTCTTGGGAGTCTCTTGGGGCTCCTTGGCGGCGTCTTGGGGGGCGTTGGGGGGGCCTCTTGGGGCGGGAGGGGGGGTAGTCGATTGCGGCTCCCCCCTCGGAGGCGACGATCCTCGTGAGGGCTGTCGAAAAATGGCCCTCCCCTGGAGTGTTCTGGTGGCTTCTCCCGGGACCTTGCCGGGATACTTTTCGTCCCGGGGCCCCCAGGGGCCGCTCCGAGCGCGCGAACTAGAAATATTGTTAACCAGTTACCGGAGGTCTTAGCACGCCTCTGGCCCGTTGAGCCGGCGAATTTCAACTGCAATGGTGGGAACAGGATGGCCCAGCCATCGGTGCACGGAGCCGTTGCGCATTTCGGTGTTTTCGTACTGTTTTGGTCGCGTTTTTGATCAAGACGCGCTTGCGTTGCAGCCACAGTCACACTGTTCTGTAGTGCGAAGCAGCAGTCCCCTTGGCAATTCTCTTGTGTTTTCTTTATTTGATTGTGTTCGCATCGTTCGTGCACGCTGGACTGGTACTTCGGCCTCCACCAGTCGCCCCAATACATGATTGAAGGACACGTGTTACATTTCGATCGCTCTGTTGGTGGGCGTCCGCGGGACCGCGGGATTCGCTTTCCCCAGTGGATTTCGGCGCGGTCGCGCTCAAGGTCTTGGAATTCTTGTGGGAGTTTCGCGTTCGGTCGGTTGGGTACTGTCTTCTTGGCGAAGTAATTGTGTCTTCCACATGTGGTATTGTGTGCGGCATGCATGGCGGATTGCCTGTGTGCAGCTTCCTGGTATCAATGTCGTGAAACACATGTTCGGGCCTATGCGAGCACTGGCGCATGAACGTGAACTCCTGAGGCGACGTGGGGAGGTGCGGTCTGCTTAACCTACCCTTTCTTGATGCGTGGAAGGCATCAAAACAGGAATCGAAATCATTCGTCCCCAATCATCCTGTGGTGTGGGGCCCTCGTTTTGAAGAAACAGCGCCGCGCTCCACTCCGCCCGCTGCCCCCTCCTCCCATCCTTGCCTCTGCCCTTCGCATGTCCATTGTAGCACGTTCCTCACACGTTTCCAATAAAGGGGCTCCAACGCAGGCCCCAGAGGCAATGGTCACGTGCGGGCGTCGCTGCCATGTCGGCATACCCCACACGTTTTGTGGCCCCATTGGGAGCTCCACCGAGGACTCCAGTGACAGCGCTCACACGTGGGCGTCGCACCCTTTTCGGTACACCCCTACGCACGCTTCGTGGTCCCAAACGGAGTCCACCCGAAGGCTCCAGTGGCGGGATTCGCGTGCGCCCCCCCGCACCGTTTCAGCATACCCTTCAAGCGTTTCGTGGCGGCGTAGGGGATTTCACCGAGGGTTCCAGCGGCAGAAACCCTTCATACGCTTCGCGGCACCATCGGGGGGGTCCACCTGAGGGCCCAACGGCAAAGTTCGCATGCGTCTTCCGCAGTATTTCGGCGCACCCCTTTCACGCTTCCTGGTCCCATAGGGAGTTTCACCTAAGGCCCCAGAGGCAGCGTTCGCATGCGGCCGCCCGCCCCATCTTAGCACAGCCCTCACGTTTTGCATGGCACCATAGGGAGCTCCACCGAAGGCCCAGTGGCTGCGATCGCATGGCATCGCGGCCCCAAATGGGGGCTCCACCTAAAGCGGTACCCACAAGGTTGTATTCACAATTGCATCTGGTTGGGCCCTTCGCCTGGATAATTTAAACATGTGTTTTGTCCCGCCCCTGGGCGGAAGCCATGTGTTTCTTTCTACACGGTTTGGTTTCGTCTGCGAGCTCAACCCGTGTGTTTTGCATGGGCCTCTTTTGTGAGCCAAAGCCATATGTTGCCAAACGCTCTCTTATCGTCAGCGAGCAGAAATTTCAGGATGCCTCGAGCGAGGGTTTCATTCGTGAGTGAATTGCGGGGGGAGTTCGAGCGGGCCCCGCCCTGTGGAGTTCCAGGCGGATGAGGAGGAACTGAACCCAGTTGTTGTAACATGGGTTCCTTTCGCCCCTGGGCTGTAACTTGGGTTTGTTTCGTCCGTGGTTTCAAGCCACGTTTTTGCGCTGATGCTTCTTGCCCGTCAACCGGAGCCATGTGTTGCTACATGATTTTGTTCGCCAGTGCGCAAACATTTGGGGATGTCTCGAGCGAGGGTCCCATTCGTGAGTAAACTGCGGGGTTGTCTCGGGCGGGGGGGGGTCGCCCTGTGAAGCTCCAGGTGGAGGAGGAGGAGGAGGAGGAGGAGGAGAAGCAATGAAAGAAGGAAAAGGAGCTGAAGCCGTTGTGTTGACATGGGTTCCGTTCGCACACTCGTTGACACCATGTGTTCCTACACGGATCCCTTTTCCTCTTTGAGTTTTTTCGTCAATGAGCAACGTTGTGTGGATGTCTCGAGCGAGGATCTCACTCGTAAGTGAGTTGCCAGGGGAGTCCCGAGCGGGGGGGGGCGCTTTGAGAAGCTACAGGAGGAGGGGTAGGAGGTGGAGGAGCGGAAGCCATGTGTTTTTTACATGGGTTCATGTATGTGGGTTGAAACCATGCGTTCTTACAGTGGTTCCTGTTGCTCGTGGGTGGAACCCATGTGTTTTTGTCCCGGTTCCTTGACCTCGTGAGCTGAAACCACGTGTTATGTTTGTTAACGGGGGTCTTTTCGCCCTTGTTACGACCACAGGTTGTTTTGCGTCTGGTTTACGTTCGCTAGCGAGCTGAAACCATGTGCTTCACGTCGGTTATTGTCGCCTGTGCTCGAAACCATGTTGCATGCGTTCCCTTCGCCCGCAAGTTGGCACCCTGTGCTTCTACATGTGCGTTCCCTTTCCGCCCGCGAGAAAGCCTGCGAGGATCTTTCGAGCGAAGGCTTCATTCGTGAGTGAATCGCGGGGAAGTCTTCAAACTGGGGCCCCGCCCAGTGGGCCTCCAGGAGGAGGAGGAGGAGGAGGAGCTGAAGCCGTGGGTGCAGGAGCTGGAGCCGCGGATCCAGCGGAGAAGACTTGGAGAGCCGGGTGGGTCGTCCCGTGGCTTGTCTCCTGTCGCGTTCCGTGGCACGTCCCTTGGTCCCCCTTGCCACGCCCCCTGGCTAGCGCTTCCCCTGGCACGTCTGCCGCGCGTCCCCTGACATGTTCCGTGGCGTATCCCAGGGCTTTCTTTGGCACGTTCCCTGGTCTGCCCCCTGACGTCTCTCCCCGGGCACGCCCCCGTGGCGCGTCCACGACCGCGTCCCCCTGGCACGTCCCGTGGCACGTCCGTTGGCTCGTCCTCTGGCGCGTTCCCTTCCCATTCCGTGCGTCTCCTGACACGTTCCGTGGCGCATCCCATGGCACGCCCCTGGGCACGTTCCCTGGTCTGTCCCATGGCGCTTCTCCCCCGGGCACGCCCCCTGGCGCGTCCACTACCGCATCCCCTGGCTCGTTCAGTGGCACGTCCCCTGGCTCGTCTTTGACGAGCTCCCTAGCTCGTCCTCTGGCGGTTCCCCTGCCCGGTGGTGTTAGGAGGGTGTGCCGGAACGTGTTCGGTTCCTCCCAGTCTCGGCTCATCGTTCCTCGATTCGATCAGGGCATGTTTGGCCCTCGTCTGGGTTCGTACTGTGTCGGTTCGTCCTGTGTTGGTTCGTCGTGTCTCGGTTCGCCGCGTTTCGGTCCGCGTATTGTCAGTGTGGTTTCCCTCGGTTCGGTATCGCGCGTGCCGTTCCCGAGTTGGATCGGATTTTGAGTTCGAACGTTCGAGCTGGTTGAGCGCCCCGCGCGCTTCGATCGCAACCAGCTCTGGGCAAGCGATGTGTTCAGGCAGCTCGGGCTTAAGATCCATATCAGTTCGGTCAGGACTCGTATGCCAAGGACGACTAGATCCACAATGCAATGGAGCAGAGCTTAGCTCAACGCGGCATGCTGCATGTCAATTCAGCACGGCACGGCACAGCATAGCCCATGGCACGGTACACCTCCATAGATACCTTCAGGCTGGCAATTGCCCGTCGCCCAGTCAGGTGTCTCGAACATGTTTCCATGCTTTACATGTTATGTCCCTTTCGGTCTTCGTGGATAAATCGTGACCCCAGGACGCTTGAGTGGTCTGAAACTGCTTCGGGTCATGGGGTGGTGGCGTTTCAGTGCTACGTCGAATGTAGTCGCAGGGTCTCGTTCAGGGATCGTCATGTTTTTAGAATCCCCGAAAATTATCCAAGAATTCCCCCCAAGCCTTCAGTGAGTCCCCCGACAGCATCCAGGAGACGACCGAAAGCCTCCCGCCCTGCTTCCCCCGTCCTCCCCATCGGGCAGCCCCCTGAGCGCACCGGAGCACCGTGCCGGCCCCCCCCCCCCCGGCTTCCCGGCAAGGCGACCAGCACCCGGACGACGCCCTGGGCCTCGCCGCCCGCAGCGACGACGGCCGGACGTTCGGCGAGCTGCTCACGGGAGGGCAGGGGACGGGCTCTCGCAGGCGACTCTCGCCCCCCAGCCCGCGACTGATTCCAAGACAAATCAATTCGCTCAGAAAGAAGGGGAACTCGGAGATCTACCCCCAGGGGGCTACTCGGACGCACCCCTGTCGAGGATGGGACGCCCCTCTCTCGAAGATCCTTGAGTAAGGCCCAAAATGCTTGATCCATTCGAAAGCCCCCCGAGAGTCGGGGATTGGGGTCGTCATACCCCTCGTTAGGCTCAGCCTCACTTCTAGCCAAAGTCTGACATCGGCAACGGAAAGTTGCCTGATCCCGTAACAAGAAGCCCCTCCGCAGAGCGCGCGTGACCGTGGAGAGGAAGTCGTGCACCCAGGAGTTGAAGATTGGCCAGGCTTCGTCGTCATTGGATCTTCCATATTATCCTTATTATTTCTTTATCGCTTCGCTCATTCCGCCTTCCTGTGCAGTGTTATCGTTGCTGCGTGCCCGTCTGGTCGTAGCGACTAGGAATGTGTTCGTGTGTTCGTGGACACCGGGAGAAGACTGGGAGGCACTGGACGGTTTTTTAGGGAACTCATGGGACAACCAAGCTGGGTCGTGGACCAGATGCCTCTTTGGGAGGCTTCTTGGGGTCTCCTCGGAGGCTCTCGGGGGGCTTTTTCCCAGAACGGGCCAGCGCCCAGGGTTTTCTTTTTGTAGGTAGATGTTCCCGGTCCTAAAATTGCATGGGGCTGGCGACAGTTCTTCTAAGGATACCGAGGTCGCATAGAGCCGTCAAATCAAGGTGTTGAGGTTGTCTCAGGCGATACGCTTGCTTGCAAGATTCCTCTCGCTTCGCGGGGGTGCACGTCCGGAGCACGTACAGTCACGTCGTCGCGGGGCCTCTTGGCAGCCTCTTGGGGGCCTTCTGGAGGCCTCCTGGGGGGACTTCTTGGGGCCTTCCCCCTTCCCTCCTTTTCATACACCCTCCCCAACTTCCCTTCAGCGCCGGCTCTAATCATGGGCGCCGCAGTGACCAATTTCCACCTGACTGGCGCTGCGCCGCACTTCACCCAGAGGGGGGAAAATAACATTACACTCCAGTCGCTGTGCAGCATTTGGGGGGCTTCTTGGGGGCCTTTTGGAGGCTTCTGGGGGACTTCTTGGAGGCTTCTTGGGGGCCTCTTGCGGCCTCTTGGGGGCGTCTTGGGCAGTCTTGGGGCGCTTTTGCGCCGTGTCGCCCCCTCGGAGGCTGTCTTGGGGCCTCTCGCGGCCGCATTGGAGCCCTTTTGGGCCGTCTTCGCGGCTTCTTGGACCGTCTTGGGGGCCTCTTTGGGCCGTTTTGGGGCCCTCTTGGGCCGTCTTGGGGCCCTCTTGGGGGCTTTTTGGGTTGTTTTGGGGCGATTCTGGAAGCTGCTTGGGCCGTCATGGATTTTTACTTAACATCGAAGACTGGTAGGTTTCTAGTGGGCTAAAAACAGCTCACAGATCACTCCACAGGGGGGTCCGAGCAGGTGTTGGGAGTTGCCGGGCGGGTTGAGTCCACCTCGCTTTTCACCAACAGTCACACACTTCGTGCTCTTCGAGTTCCCAGAACTCCATTCCCAGGCTCATTCTGAATAACCGGATGCAACAGTCACACACTTCGTGCTCTTCGAGATCCCAGAACGCCATTCCCGGGCCACCTTTAAAATAACCGGATGCAACAGTCACACACTTCGTGCTCTTCGACATCCCAGAACGCCATTCCCGGGCCACATTCTGGAGGGCCGGATGCAACAGTCACACACTTCGTGCTCTTCGAGTTCCCAGAACTCCATTCCCGGGCCACATTTTGGATGCCCGGAGCCAACTGTACCACTTCGTGCTCTTCGAGTTCCCAGAACTCCATTCCTGGGCCACATTTTGGATGCCCGGAGCCAACTCTAGTCCACTTCCTGGTCTTCGAGTTCCCAGAACTCCATTCCCGGGCCACATTTTGAATAGCCAGACGCTTCATAGTCCTTCCGCCACAGCCGTGTTTGGTTCAGGACTTGCTAGTGACACTGCAGTCCACTGCATTCAATCGTGCCACTGCATTCATTCACTGCAGTCCACTGAGTTTCGATTGCAATGGCGTTCCCCTGGCCGTACCCCCATGTCCAACGTTCATCCGCAGCCTCTGCTCCGCGAGGCTCGTCCGAAGTGTCGCCGCCTCGCGGTGCTTCTCAGCCTGCGCCGCCTCGCGGTGCTTCTCAGCCTGCGGAGGAAGGTGGACAGACGCCTGGTTCTGGCGCTGTGCAGCCTGCGTCTTTCACGGTCGCCTCGTTCAATTTCGGGTTCGAGCAGGGCATGATGACTGGTAAGCAGGCGGCCACTCACTGCGCTAACTTCGGAAGGGTGTGCGCCACGATAGTGGAGACCGCTGATGCTGATATTGTCTGTGCATGCGAGGTCGGTGCGTTCCGTGAAGGCTTTCGCCGAGCAGGGATCAACGTGACAGAGATCCTCAGTAAGCCTTTCGGTGATGGCATTCGCTTCTCGGAGGTCGACAACTACTTGACTCTCTGGGGCTTCCGCGGTGCTTCTCAGCCTGCGGAACTGACTCTGTGCGAAGACAGCAAAGTTTACAGGCCTCCTAGCGGCCGAGAGATTGATGCTGTTATTTCACATTTTGAGGTGAACAAACCAGGCCATGACAAGTTCCACGTGGTGATCGCCAACATGCACATCGTGTGCGGCAAGAAACCGCCGACCATCCAGACTCGAAAGCGGACAGTTCGCCATCTCCGCTTGCACCTGGACTGCATGGCTCAGATTCTCAATGCTTCGGAGCCGCACGTGCCAGTCGTTCTGCTTGTAGTCGGCGACGACAACCTGACTTTCCAGGAGGCGCGGGAGGCTTACCAGCGCCAGCAGAACGACGAGAAGCTCTGGGAGGTCCATGCCACTCCGGCCGACCTCAAAGGCGACCACGTCGCGGTCTGCGGAGCAGTCGCCCGTTTCTGCTCCATTGCCGTTGGCGCGTCTTTTACGGATCGTGGCATGCGCAACGACGCACACGATGCGGTGGCGGTTGTGCTCACTCTCCCTGGTGCTTCTCAGCCTGGGGAGAGCAAGAGGCGGAAGATTGTCGTCGAAAACGTCTCCGACGCCGACGTCAGCGTACAGGCGGACGCCGAGTCTTCTGTGCATTGGGATCGGTCGCCACGTTCTACTCCTCCGCTTTCACCGACTTCACCGGCTGATCCCGACTACGTCGAGGATGTCGTTCAAAATCGCGCGAACGACTTGCACAGGGAGCTGAGGCAGCTTTGGGACGAAAGGTACGACGAGGAGTACGATCCGAAAGTCCTCTTTCATCTCAGTCTCTTGCTTTTCAAAAAGAGGAAGTCCACGGAGCCAGCGGACACTGATCCAGCTGGCGCTCCTCAGCCTGGCTCGGAATATGACGCGGCCTTTGCGTCTCAGGAGGAGACTGGCCGAGCCATTCTCTCTGTCCTTAAGCTTCGACATGACTTTCTGCGGAGCAAGAACATCGACGACATGCGCTACGTTCTCACGGAGCCTGAGCGCCAGGAATTGGTCAGAGTAGCTCGCGACCAGTACGAGCAGTCGCGGCAGCAGCGTGCGCTTCAGGAACGGGATGTCGAAAAGGGAAAAGCGAGAGGCAAGTCTGCGCCACAAGGGGGCCATGCGGTTCCGCAGGGTCCTAACAAAGGGCCAGGCGGTAAGAAAGGTTCTCACGGTGCTTCTCAGCCTGCGGGAAAAGGTGGCCAGGCCAAGGGTGCAGGTCTGGGTAGCGTCGCCAAGTTTGTGAAAGACCAGAAGCGTAAGCGGTGGCATCGCCATTTGCAACGCGTGGCCGGCACCAAACAGATCTGGGAGGTGCTGGCCTTCTCAGGGCGCTTCGACGTTGATTGGCTAACGCAAGCGTTGCAAGCTGATCACAGCGAGGGCCGTGATACAGCAGTTCCCGAGGAAGCTCTGCGGGAACAGCGGCGCCGTCTGCACCACCAGAAGGCCGAAGCCATCGCGCGCTACAACGAGGGGGAGCGGCTTTCCCGCCATCGCGAAGAGGTCCGTCGTGTCGGCGCTCTTCCGTCTGCCCAGGCTGGCCAGCCAAAGCCGAACTTCACGCGCAGGCAGCTGGACGTGTTGCAGATGTTTGAGAGCGGAGAGCTGCTTCAAATCCGCAACCAAGCGATTCTGGCGTTGGGGCACGGCCGTCTGCGCAGGGCCGGAGGCGACTACCCTGACATCGGCGGCAGCACGGGCGGTGGCTCCAGGCGCATCATCGATTCTTGGCAGCCGCCGGACTGGCGTGACTTCCTCCAAGACGATCAGGACATCTGAGTTTTGCAAGTCTCTCTGCCCGCGGTGCTTCTCAGCCTGCGGTCTGCCGCTCTCCAGCTGCGGTCTCGAGCAGTAGTGTTCGAAATCATGCGAGTTCCTGCGGTGCTTCTCAGCCTGCAGGTTTCGCAGCTTGCGCTCTGCAGTACAAGTGCTTTTCAGCATGCGACATCCTGCGGTGCTTCTCAGCCTGCAGGGTTCGCAGCGTGCGGTTTGCAATGCGTTCCTTTTCAGTACGCGAGTTCCCGCGGTGTTTCTCAGGCTGCAGGGCTCCGAGGCTCTTCGCTTCGATGCCAATGTTTTCAGACACCGTAGCTCCGTTCCGTAAACATCTTCCAAGAGCCGCTCGCAACCTTTTGCAGCTGGCGGTCTGCAGACGTAGTCTGTCTCAGCATGCGAGCTCCCGCACGCTTCGCCGGCTTTTGCTGCGCGGACAATTTTCTCACACACGTCAGCGCCGTTTGTAGGCGTCAGAAAATCATGTATACATTCACGAAGGGCTCAGTCTGTATATCGTCACATCATTACATACGCAGTCGTCGAACACATCGGTGTACATTCAGTTGATAACAGTGTTCTGATGGGTACGCTTCGTTCTAAAAACGTTGATAGCAGTGTCTCGTTTGCGGACAACTCATTGTATATCAACTCACTGATGCCGAGTTTCCTTTCACCATAAGTGAATGCATACCAGTGTATGTTGGTT